TTTACGTGCATGTATTTGTGCATTTGTGTGAATATATCCATATAATACACACACACATACACACACACAGAAAGTGGTTCTTTAATTATTCATCCAATATATCTTTGCTATTTTAAACAATAGGAAAAATTGAAATTAGAGAATTTTACAGTTTTGATGTGTATGTCATATTATGGCATTAATTGTTTTTGTGAGTAAAGACATAAAAGAAACTTGAAAGTCAACTTTATTTTTTTAAGTGTAATATCATTTTTTTAAGCCAGCGGTACATGATGCTATTTTATCTGCTGAATTGCTAGCTGGATTTGTATGCTTGCTATCGTATGCGCACTATTGCTCAGTGCTGCTGATTATGTTGCTGGCTTGGCTTCAAACGATACTGTCTTTCGTACTGGCTTGTACTGGCTTTTGTACTTTGTTGTGGCTTTGTAAATAAATATGGAGCAGGCTATTACTACTGCAGTACAACGAAAAAATGCAACTGCATTATATGCGTCATATTTCTTTTCATGCAACAACACTTGTGAGAGAATACTTTAACATAACTTCTTTCACATAATCCTAATTAGCTGTGTCTTGATTGGCTCTTGCAATGAGCCAACACAGGACCATGTAAGAAAAATAGCATCTGTTCTATCATGGAAATCCAGCAGATCAGTCAGCAGCATGACCAGCAGACACAATTTCCAGCCTAGCAGACAGTAAGATTGCTAGCACAAGTGCACGCAAGCATTTCAGCAAATAAAATAGCACCATGTGCCACTGGCTTTATAATAGAATTTTACAGAGCGGCAAATTCTGAGAAGAAAGTATTATGTAAGGTATATGTATTTCAAAACAAATAGTTTCTGAGATATTTAACTTTCAAGTTAATAGTCATTACACTTCACAACTGCAGATTTATCTAATAAAGTCGACAAATGAAAAGGATAAATTAGTTTTATGGGTTTGATGTATTTAAGTTTATATATACAGGGTGAGTCATTAGAAATTGCCTTCTAAGATATCTTCACAAATATTGATTAGAAAAAAAGGTTTACGACAAAAGTTAAATTATTTTGAAAGGGCTACATTTTTTGGTTATCTTAGTTTTTTTTAAGTGGAAGCGCCAAAATGTTTTGAAGGTTATCTCAACTTTTTTAAATGGGAAGCTATTTTTAAACAGCTATAATTGTAGAAGATAAAAAGACGAATTCAACAACCTATAACATCTTGACTATGAGGTGACATTGAAATGAAAAAATCCAGAAAAACAGTATGAGTAAAATAGGTAAATGATAAAAATAATAATTTTTCAAACAGAATAAATTAATTTTATTTAATGCTATCTTTTGAAATCGTTCGATATTGATAATACGTTGCTTCATATTTTTGGGAGTTGGTACATTTCAATATACTATTTGTTCACTATCATCCCAATGAAATCCCATTGACACATTCTGTTTTCTTGTGTTTATCAACATTGTGTTTATCAAACCCGAAGATATGAAGCAATTATTACCAATGCTTATCGAACAATTCCAAAAGATATGTTGCAAAGAGATCGCGCATTTAAAGAATGTATTCAAAAGTGTCATAAAATAAATGGACAACTCTTTGAACATCTTATTAAATAAAATTAATTTATTTTGTTTGAAAAATTATTACTTACTATTACTCCTCTTGTTTTTCTAGATTTTTTTTCATTTCAAGATCACCTCACGGTCAAAACGTTATAAGTCGTTAGATTTGTCTTTTCATCCTCTATAATTATAGTTGATTAAAAATAGGGCTTCCCATTAAAAAACTTTGTGATGACCTTTAAAACTTTTTGACATCTCCACCTGAAAAAAAATTAAAACTACAATAATGTAGGTTTTTCAAGATGATTTAACTTTTGTCTCAAACGTTTTTGTGTGTGGAAAGTTAATATTTATAAAGATAGATAACTATCTTAAAAGATAGTTTCTAGTGACTCACTCTGAATGTGCATGTATGTTTGTATCTTTCAATTTAATAATTCAAATCTTATTTTATTGTTCTTATGTTTTGATTATGTTCTTAGGTTCAAGCACTCTCTGGTCCAAATGAATTCTCAGAATTTTATTCGCGTTTGAAGTCGATAAAAGAATTTTATCGGCGACATCCTAATGAAATCAGTGTTCCCATGTCTGTTGAATTTGAGGAATTAGCTAAGATGAGAGAAAACCCAACAGAAGAATTGTCCAATCTTGTTGAATTTACAGATGAGGAAGGTTATGGAAAATATCTCGATCTTCATGAATGTTACCAAAAATACATTAATCTTAAAGGAATAGAAAAAGTAGATTATATAACTTACCTGTCAACTTTTGATCACTTATTTGATATTCCTAGAGAGAGAAAGAATGCAGAGTATCAAAGATATGTTGAGTCCCTATTAGGATATTTGACAGATTATCTGAGTAGAGTAAGACCTCTACTAGATATTAGTACAGAGATTACAGAAGCCAATAAGGATTTTCAGACTCATTGGGAGAAAAGCACATTTCCTGGTTGGCCCAAGGAAGCTGGAAGTGCTTTGACTCATGTAGGAGCACACTTGGAATTATCTGCATTCTCATCATGGGAAGAATTAGCATCTCTTGGTTTGGATAGATTAAAATCAGCTTTGATGGCTTTAGGACTTAAATGCGGAGGTACGCTCGAGGAACGGGCGCAAAGACTTTTCAGTACAAAGGGCGAACCCTCTTTAGACCCCAATTTATTAGCTAAGAATCGAAAAGGAAAGTCAGCTAAGACCAGAGATTCCGAGAAGCAAAAAGAAATTGCACGATTAGAGGCTCACGTGTATAAGCTCGCCGAACTAGTATCCAGTCAACGAGTAGCCACGAAAGAAAATGTACAAAGAAAACAAGCAAGAACCGAGGGCGAAAGAGGCGATTCTGACGCAGAGGCAAGTGCGAGCGAATCGGAAGAAGAGGATGACAATGAGGTTCCATATAATCCAAAAAATTTACCCTTGGGCTGGGATGGGAAACCCATACCTTATTGGTTATACAAATTGCATGGTCTAAATATTAGTTACAATTGCGAAATCTGTGGTAATTTTACATATAAAGGTCCAAAGGCATTCCAGAGACACTTCGCGGAATGGAGACACGCTCACGGCATGCGCTGTCTCGGCATCCCAAACACGGCACACTTCGCCAATGTCACTCAGATTGAAGATGCCCTTGCTTTGTGGGAAAAGCTCAAAGCACAGAAACAAGCAGAACGTTGGCAACCAGAACAGGAAGAAGAATTTGAAGACTCGCTTGGCAATGTAGTCAATCGCAAAACATATGAGGATCTTAAGAGACAAGGCTTGCTATAATAAAGTATACATCAAAGTTGGATTTTATTATAATGTTCCAAGATCGTCATTTGTATTGCTAGTTTTTATAATTCTTTTTTTCATTAAAGTATTTTCGCCAAGAAAACTTTTTCATCCATTTGTCTTGAAATCTGTTAAATTGTATTAGTATCTTGAAACTATTTACACACATATATACATGTATCTCTCGCTTTTTAATACGCTTCATGCTTTGTGATCTTTTGTTTAATCTTGATATAATTGTTCTTGATTTGTGACCGTTTTTGAAATTTTAATTAACAAAGTTTGTCAACTTTGTTAGAACAATATGTAACATTAAAGCTTCTAATTCCTCACTGATATTAAATTATATCGTCAGAAGCGAGAAAAATTATATGCATCTTTTTTCTTGCAAAATGTATTGAAATAAATTAGTTTTTCGTCACCATTCTGCACGTTTAATAATACACATTAATAAAATATATCTATTCTCTTTTCTGTTCATGAATTAAGAAATATCTAATAAATTTAAATATAGGACACTTGTAAAAAAAATGGTTTTGCTATATTTGATCAAACTATATTATCGAATATGAGTCACGAAAAATGTAACTACTTTCGACATATTTCATACAGGAAAAAGATTCATATAATTTCGCTTCAATTTAATATGGCTGAGGTAAGGAAATAGAAGCGTTTAAAAGAAGCTTAAAAAGAAACGTTTAAAAGATATCTAATGCATTAATATTCAATAGAAGTATATTATTAATGTACCGCAAAACACGACATCTATTTAACCAATATTTTAGAAGTGAACATAAATTGTCAGAAAACATTTGATAAAAAATTATGCAACAATTTCAAAGTTGCTTTTACTGTTAAACGCATCTATAATAAAGTAAATATTAAGGCTTTTTTCTTCTTTCTTTTATACCGGTTATTAATAATCAATGGAATATATAACAACCATCATGTTCTTATCTGTTTTCTTTTTCTTATTCATATTTTATCTTTATAATGATAAAGACAAGATGTGTATATATGTGTAGACATATAATATTTAATAAATCTTATATTTGTTCAATATTCTCTCTGCACTAGATAGTATCGCGATGAATATTATATTTGGAAGGAACATTTAATATATATGAAAGCGCATTAATTGTGATCGCACATCCATTTAATACCCCAAAAACATTTGTGTCTCATGATCGCGGCACATAATACTGATATAATCTATTGTACCTCCGTTACAATTAGTCAGATAGAAAGTATAAAAGTAATTGTTTCAGATTTATTGTTTACGCTGGACAATTAAGGCTTTTTTAAGAAACACGCATCATAGAATTAAATACTCTTTTATGCATGTTTTCTTAATAAATGTCTAAGTAAATTGTTTTATTCTGGCACATATCTATCAAGCTCTTATATGGCGCGATTAGACTAAATGAAATTTTAGATAATTAGTTTTCTTCGAATATTTAATTATAGAGGACAATGTGCTAAATTGCGCACGTATATATCATCGTTTTATATTTCACAAGTAGAGCTTTTCACAAATTGCATCTCTTATCATTGATCTTTATATACTACTCGGATGTCGTTAGCCGGATGTCCAGTATGCTAGTTGCATACTGGAAATGCAAAACATTGTAAAATTTTTGGTTTACAATTACTAAAATTTCATCAATACACGTTCCATTGATTAAAAATTTCTTATCGATATGTATCTAACATTAATAAGTACATAACACAAGACATATTCTTCCAGTTTATATGTTTGTGCTCTTTCAATGCACGAACTTTTCTATAGAATTGTATATTGCACTATTAAATAATCGATTATTAAAATTGAACCCTATATTTATATACTCTACTAAACTGTTTAAAGTAATTGAATTGATGTGTCAAATTATGAGTTTTTGTTTTTGAAGTTCTCATATCTAAAATCTGGCGCAAAATTATTATAATTATATTATATACCATAGAGAGAAATCATTTTTTAATCATATTTCTAATTTCAAATGTTGCTTTAGACTAACCAATGAACTAATAAAATAAAATATTTCTATAATCAATAATAAAACATTTTAATTAGTATCGTTTTTAAAGAACATCCATGCAAAAATGTATATTTTCTGTATTGCATTAAGAATATTCCCAAGTCGAATAATTCTTCAATTTGTATCTAATAAGGAATTCAATCATTTGCATTATTCTATGCTGATATATAAAAATGTAGAGTTTGTTATATATAAAGTTTTATAAAAGAATATGCAATAACATAAGAAATAAGCAGCATTACTCATAAAATATCTAATATCACATTATTTAAAACAGAATCTTGGAAATGGAGGAGAAAATTTATTAGTCAAGATGCTTATATGTTGTTTCCACACTTAAATAACTTGTATGGATACGGCTTTTAGTGTGCACTAGTGCAAAATAGTCAAGCGTTCGAATTCGTTATGAGATATACGTTGCATGCACAAATACTTTGTATGTAGCCGGTGAAACTTTTCTATTTTATACAAGATGCTTTGGATACACTCGTCACAGCAACACCGATATTGCTAGACGAGAAGGGACGGATATCTTATTTTAATTCCTTTAATTTTTATTATATATATAATTTCTGACTTGTTCCTGCAGCCATATCGGGTTATAACATCAGGAGTGGAATCCATATGATATGAAATCATATATTATATGCTATATAATACTTTATATAGAAATAATTTATTCTTGCAATATAGTTGGAATAAATTAGCTTCTTTACATGCTGTTATTTGTATTCGATAAAATAAGCTTGTGAAATATGTCGGATTCTTTTTTTGATTCGTAAATTAAAGGCTCTTGCACAATGCTAGGCGATAGCCATAGCTAATAGCTATATAGCTAGATAGCTATATAATAGTATATGCCAATGCAGAATGTTATTCTTTGTAGAGAAGCATTGGCATATGCATTCTCCAGTATTGGAAATTTCTGTTTTTATTTCTATCGCTATCGCTATCGCCTAGCATTGTGCAAGGGCCCTTAGACTCCTATATCTTCACTGCAGCCATATTGAATTATGACGTCAAGGACTGCGTTCTGATATTCACATAGACTCATAGACATAGGGTGCGTTCCGTTTCACACATTGAGCGCATAGATCGCCTGGAAATCTATAGTTCACGTAATATATATTATAGATTTCCAGGCGATCTATGCGCTCAATGCGTGAAACGGACCGCACTCAAAGTTTAATGCGATTTTTCTTCTTTTGCTTTTTGATTCTCGGTCAGTGTTGTTAGATGGATGAAGTTTTTCGTGCCATTTACAGTTACGTATATGTGATAGGTACCTCAGTTATTTTGACGGGATGTCGCAGAAGACAAGTTAAGTAGATACGTATTATAATATAAATAAATAAATTAACATAATTTATATACATCATTATTTTATCGTTTCTTTTTCATTGCTTTATGCGGGCTTTGTTTCTCTCACCTACTGTTCGCCCGTTTGCAAAAAAAAATTTACTGATGATTTTTTTCTCTACAATCAGTGGATAAAGTTAAGCAAAACACTGACAAATTGGAAATAACAAATCAGCATAATTTGAATAATAAGTTATTAGATAATGAACTAGTAACACGCTAGTGCATGCATTAGTGCACGCGCGCTGCGTTGTCAAGTTCGTATTTGGCGCTAAAAAACTTGACAAAGAATGCGACCAGTGATGCCACATTCTGTTGTCTATGCACGGAAGACGCGGCCGCACCGAAAGATAGACGGAAGGGATACGCACACAAAGATGAGCCACAGAGTTCTGTTACACGGCACCCTTAATCGGGTTTAATAACATCCGTAGTTGTGAAACTGGCCAATCACAGCTATTCCTCTGAAGAATGGAATGACTGTGATTGGCCAGCCTTCGAACTACGGATGTTATTAAACCCGATTAGGGGTGACGTGTAAACGTAGTCAACGTCAACCTTTAGCCGCGCGCCTGGTAGTGTGCCTGAGCGCTCCGTCGCTCCGGCGATGCACACTAACAGACGGGCGGCTCACTGACGTGCGTCCGGCTAAAAGTCGGTGCTGATTGACCAGACTTTACTCAATAATAACTCTTTTATTAAGCGTTATAGTAAAAAATGGTACAAGACTTTTCTGTTCAGTTTACTGTCCTCTACCTGCTCACGAGCGTTGTCAAGGGTGCTTTGGGACATCCTGTATAATAGACGCGCGCTCTTATGGGCGAGCTGATGACAAGATCTGAAGGACAGAGCTAGTCAGTCCGGTATGTTTTCTCTCTCGCACATGTAAAGAGAAGGGGAAAGATGGCCCGTTTCTATCCATTCGGCGAACCTTGTCCCCTCCGATGCGTTTGCCAAGTCCCCCACCAACTTTCGTATTAGAAAGAGACAGCATCTCGACACTGTTGCTCTCTCTTTCTAATGTAGTATTCAGCTCCTCTTACGGGGACGCGCAGTTTATTATATAAGTCTATGGATATTCACTGCCAATACTGAAAATCTATAATTTACGTCACGTACACTATAGATTTTCAGTACTGGCAGCATAGACATAGTATATGTAGACCGAGCGTTTGCCTTTATTTAATGAGTGGGGGTAAAGATGCTCGTAGAAAGGACGTACTCTGTTCCGTGCTCCTTGCGTTCTCTCTCGCTCGCATGTAGTATAGCGTTCTCTTTCGCTATGCTACGTGCGACAGAACGCAAGGAGCACCTAACAGAGTATGTTCTTTTCTACGTGCACCTTGGCCCCCACTCTTCAACACTCGGTCTAGATATACTATAGCTGCGTTCCGATATTCACTGCCAGTACTGAAAATGTAATTCTTAGGGGGCTCTGGTGGCTCAGGGAGTAGCGCGCCTGACTCACATCCCAGAGATCTCGGGTTCGATTCCCGACTCGACCCTGGCCTGCGCTTTCCTATTTTTCCTTTCCTACCACCTCCCAACAAAAATTCCTTCCTTCCCTCTCTTCTCTTCTTCCAGTATATATACATAAAAACTGAGTTTACACTCTAATATAACCTGTTGTTGGCCCGAATACATGACAACCCCAGATCATTACGGCCATTTAAATATTAAGAATACAGAATACTGAAAATGTATTGTGTACGTGACGTAAACTGTAGATATTTTGTACTGGCAGTGAATATCGTACCACAATCTATGTCTATGACTGGCAGTGAATATCGGAACACAGCCAGAGTATCGATTACGTAACTTTTCCCCTAGGGCGGAAACATGAAAAGTGAACAATTTTGCCATTAATTTCAATGGTAATATTTTTCACTTTTCACGTTTCCGCCCTAGGAAAAAAGTTACATGATCGATACTTAGAAGCGAGAATCCGTATGAATTTTATTCTTGTAAAATACATTGAAATTTTTTGAATGCGATCATCCTTGGTCGATAATATAGATTAGTTAAATATACTAAAAACTCTCTTTTTTTTATTTGTGGATTAATAAATAACTGTAAATTTTGATCAATTGTTGTAAAGTCCATTTTTGCTGAAAAAAGTTTTTGTTGTATTTTACTAATCTACACATATTATCAAACACAAATGGTCACATTCAAAAAAATTTATTTATTTCCATATATTATATAGGCAGGTGTGAAAAATTACCGAGACCCTAAAATATCTCGAAGGGATAATAGGTTTTGGATAATAGATTCTTGAAAATGTTAAATACAAAACCTATAAATTTCGAATTGAGATTAATTTAAAAATCTTGGTATAGGACCAAGTAAATTTTGTCTCTCTGCACATAATCAATTTCATAGAAAACTTATTTTTCTATGAAACTGACGCACTACCATCCGCGTCTGGCTCTTACTAGCCCGCGAATATTTGAAATTTGTGATGTCACTCGAGAGCCTTAATTTCTTAAAATTCTTAAACATAAAAGTTTTTGGGTATCAAAAGAGCTATCTGACTGATCAAATAGATTTTGGACTCGGAGTCTAGTTTGGGCCTACTAAAGCCCAAGTCAATTTTTTCAAGTAAGTAGACCCATATTTTTTATCATGGATTTAGATTCAGGACACGTTTTTACATCTGATATAGCGGATAAACATTTGGGTCCGAGGCCCTTTTTAGACCCAATGAGGTCCAAATCAAGTTTTTCAATAAAAATTCCTATTTTTCGTCACGTGTCGATGTCTAGAACGGTTTTCTGCTTAAAAGAAAGCAAAATTAGATTTTGGATCGCAAGATAGACCAGATCTTTGGCCCAATGAGGCCTCGAACCCAAATGTCGGCTAGTCAGATGTAAAAACGTGTCCTGAACCTAAATCCGTGATAAAAAATATGTGGGTCCCTACTTGAAAAAATCGACTTGGGCCTTACTGGGCCCAAAATCTAGTTGACCAGTTAGATAGTTCTTTCGATACACAAAAACTTTTACATTTAACATTTTCCTCCAAAACCTATTCCCTTCGAGATATTTTAGGGTCCCAGTATTTTTTCCGCACCCATATCGCAAGAATAAAATTCATATGATTTCTCGCTTCTAATATCATAATTTAATACGCTTATATGATTGCAGTGGACATATAAGTCTTAATAGGTAGCTGTAAATTTCAATCTTACAATTAATCATAAGACACTTATTCTCTCGTTAGAAACATAGAATATATATAGACTAAATTACACAGCCATTTATTAATCCTCACATGATAGATACAGACTCTGCTGAATGCCAAAGGATAAATCGCCATTTTATCCTTTTCCTCCGTTGTCCCTTTCTAACTACCTAAAAACCGTAATTTATATAAATGCCAAGGAAATGTGAAACGAGTGAATTAATAAACGGTTTTCATTCAGCAATAATGCATCCAAATAATTCCGGTATTTATTAGGCAGAAGAATTAATGAAAAAAAAAGTTATAAGAAAAATCTTCAACATATTTTACTGTTTTTATCGAATACGACCAGGAATGTACGAAAAGAAATTAATTTACTTCAATGAATAGCGCAAGAAAATATTTTTTGTATAATCTTTCGCTGTAGATGTCATAATTCAATATAACTATATTTCAAAATCTTACGAATTAACGATATCCTCCGAGATGCGACAATATGGTGTCTATATCAATGAAGTGCCCTCTCGATAAAGTAGTATCGAAGAAAGAGGGACTTAGGCACGATAGATCGCATGTTGTCGGAGTTGCGAGAAACAGTGACAGAATCTTCTTGGCTCTTATTCAACGCTGTCTACAACTGCGCTGTCGTCTAGAGTGTGAAGCCAATTGAAGATCATCATATTTCTCTCGTACTTAGACAACTGATTTCCACGTTCTCTTTCAACATCCCGGATTGTCAATGCGTGATTTCGCTCCTTCCGCCCAATCAAAGAAGTATTAGGAACCCGCGCGGTTGTTCCGGGCACCAATAAAGTAGTTCCATGAGAAGTCTGCGCCGCGGTAGCTGCTGCTTCTAATTGGTCTAAATTAAATTCACTCTGCGAGAGACGTTCCAAAGCGCGGTACGTAGTAAGTAATCTAACGTAATGCAAATAAAACATCATTAATGCATTATATTGAAAAAAGAAACTTCAACAGCGTAATTTAATAATTCTTCAATAAACGCTACTACTAACCTTCGTCGTATATAATTTTGCCGGACTTTTTTGTTGACGGACCTAACTAGATCTGCTCCTGTAAAGGGTACAGGCGGTGGCGGCGGCGCCGGTGGCTGCGGCGGCAGTTGCGGTACTGATTGAGCGTTAGAGGAAGATTGTTGCTGTGCCTGCTGTGGTTCCGATAGCTGCTGTTGTTGTTCTTGCGCGGCTCCACCATGTGGGCTGGGAAGCTGAGATGTACTGGCTACAGGTTCGCCTACGGCGACCCAGGTGCTGCAGGACCTCGAAGCATGATCAAGTCTAGCATGCTCCAGCAGCAGGGTATTGCGCTGGACGGTGTCAAGAGCCAGAGCGGATACTGCTGTTCGAAGGCCACCGGCTCCAGCCGCGTCTGGACTGGGAAGCTGCGACACATCGCTCGTGCTGAAGCTCTTACGCAATCCCAGTGCTGATGATAAAACTCCGCAGCTACGTATTAGCTCGTTCTCTTCCTCGAACCAAAGAATTTCAGGAATATCCGCTGGTCTATCGAGATATATATAGTTGAATGATAAATATGGAATGATTTCTTTGCGCACAATAAATGTCTAGTGTAAGAATAACACGTAATACGAACCTGTTACCCTGAATTTGTCGAGAATCCGGTTTCGGAGAAGGTCCTCGTGCGGTAAGCTGCGCGTCACTGTACGACTTGAAAGTGACTAATCTATTGGCACCGCGCAGATCACTCGCGATTGAAGACACGCTGAAGAGCGATAAATCGGTGGTAACGCTCTCATGACTCGGCGAGCGCAGCATTCGTGAGGTGACTTGCAAGGCTGGACATTGCTTGGATGTCAGACTACCGCTACCTCCGCCGCCGCTGCCTCCTCCACTGCCACCGCTGCTACTACAGCATTGCGCGCACATAACCGTAGGTATCGGCGAAGCCGGCTTTATTTCACTTTCGGACATTTTGTATTCACTTGCGTCAATGTCCGATCTCTATTTATTTGTCTATTTATCTCCGTTTCTGTTTTGCGTACTTTGGCTGTTTTAATTTTTTTCGATGATTGCAGAGTGGTTACAGTGGCGAATTTATGTCATCCTGAGCGTCCAACGTTTCTTCTCCGTTTTCAATGCGATGACTATACGTGATATACATGATATTTTAGAGATAGAAAGATTAATCAGGTAAAAAAAAAATTAATTCTTAAGTGTGAAAAAAAAACTTGTCAACAAAGTTTAACTTAAGATTTCTGTTCTATTGATGTTCTCGATTATAATTGATTATAACGTTAGAAGAAAAAATATTACAAATTTTTTTCGGCATCTTACACAAATAAATCAGTTTCTCGCATATATGTAAGAGAGTAGAGATAGATAAAATATAAAACTCCCTTTAAAATTTTCATCAATAAATAATCATACTGTACATATTTTATATTATAGAGTTAATTTTATGATAATTGTGCTTAAAAGTTACAATTATTAACTTACGAATCGAAAAAAAAATTGTATTGGCAGATATCGCAAACTTATTCCATTAAACATGAATAAAAAAAAATTTGCGATAAAATTTATTTCGATATTTTTTATAAAAATATGTTAAAATATGATTTATCGCCTCTTTCGCATACACATTATAATTTTATATGCAATAACGAAATATCAGTATAAAGTTTATCTTATAAATAATAAAGTTTTTATATCTTATAAATAAACAATAAATGCACGAACAATGGGCTTCTAATAATTAAACTGATTAAGCAGATATAATTCAGCTCTAATAAAATGCAACATTTAATCGCTAAGAAATTGAGATATGTCAGTTTGATAGGTCTACGTCGGTTTTGGCACCTTTGCTCTGTTATTCTGGAATTAAGATTTGAATTGTAATTATCAAAATATTAATATTCAATAATTTTGGAAACTACGACAGATAATGATCTTTGAAATCTTTTTCTTGGAAGCAAAATACTCGATACTAAATCTGTTAAAGAATCCGCCATTAATTGTATAGGTCATAGATTTCCGCGTACATTCTACACATAAAAAAAACCTTAAAAAAAATTGTCAATATTTAATTTGACAATACAGATATGCGAGTTACCTCATCATTTCATTCTTTTTTTCTTTTCTCTTTTTCTCTTTCTTTCTTTCTCTCTCTGAGGATTGTGATTGTATGTACCGTAAATTAAACAGATAAACTATAATCTAGATTAATTTTTTTCTTTCTTCTAAGTTGCGAAAAAGTTTCTAATTCGGATAGCTAATAGCGAAAAACTATTGTAATGTCATATTGATTATGGATATGGCTACGTAATCGACAATTACGCAGTTAAAGAAAAAAAAACGGAACGGGACTAGTCGGTTCTTATAATTTTTTGGACGCTGAACACGAATCCGGTTTCCAAATTGCTTCATCATGTCAAAATTTTGAGAAATTTGCAATTAAAGTTGCAAAAAAGGGCTATTTTCACGAACTTTGTCATATTATAGCTACAATATGTGACGTGCTGGAGAAGTTTTATTGCAATCAAAATAAAATATGTTGTTAGGACTTTCAACCCTCAAAAGGAATTTTTGATATCGGTTATGGTTAATAAGATATCCATGGTTAAATATGGGGTATATTGCAGAAGTTAGCTGTGACGTAGGTCATTTACAATTTACCAAATAGCTTTCAATTATTATTTAAACTTCAGAGTTTTTTAGGTCGCTGAATACGAATTCAATGTCAAAAGTGTCAAATTCAAAATGATGGACGCAATGTGGCGAATGTCAAAACTTAAAAAATGTTTAGATTGCAATCTAAACATTTTTTAAGTTTTGACATTCGCCATATTGAATCCATCATTTGTCAAATGTTTAGATTGCAATCTAAACATTTTTTAAGTTTTGACATTCGCCATATTAAGTCCATCATTTTGAATTTGACAATTTTGACATTGAATTCGTATTCAGCGACCTAAAAACTCTTAAGTTTAAATAATAATTGAAAGCTATTTGGTAAATCGTAAATGACCTACGTCACAGCTAACTTCTGCAATACACCCCATATTTAATCATAGATATCTTATTAACCATAACCGATGTCAAAAATTCCTTTTGAGGGTTGAAAGTCCTAACAACATACTTTATTTTGATTGCAATAAAACTTCTCCAGCACGTCACATATTGTAGCTATAATATGACAAAGTTCGTGAAAATAGCCCTTTTTTGCAACTTTAATTGCAAATTTCTCAAAATTTTGACATGATGGAGCAATTTGGAAACCGGATTCGTGTTCAGCGTCCAAAAAACTATAAGAAATGACTAGTCTCGTTCCGGTGTTCGAATAAAGTCATTTTTTGTTGAACTATGTTATATATATACATATGTATATATTCTCCGAAATTAAAATTCAACTTTTTCTAAGATTGGCATTTCTGCGTTTTCCTCAGTTATATATTTCGACTTTTTCAGTCATTTAGTGTGTTACGCGTGTTATTCAATTGAAATAAAATAAAATATCGCAAAATGTGTTTTAGCTTGTTTTTTATATTGCTAAAGCTAAGAGAATAATGAGACTAAATTCAGGATGTATTGAAAGTTAATAGTCTTGAAAAAAAGTATTAAGTAAGGATTAAGTAAATATTATATAAGGAAAAATTATATGAAAAATAGAAGAATTATATATTCAAAGTCAGATTTGAACAGTAAAAGATATTTAATATTCTTTGCGTATTTCAAATTCACAAAAAAAGAAATATTACATTTTTAATATAAGTATAAAAATTATTGAAAACTTTCTATTTTGACGCATAAAAGTTAAATTAATCAAATCTGATCTAGTATTTAAATATATATCTTTTTTTCTCTTTTCTTTTCATATTTTTATTAAATTGTGTGAAGGATGTTAGAAATAACTATAATAATATTTGTTTCATTATTCTCTTTTCAACTTCTTTTGTGCGATTTATTTTTAATGATATTAAGCTATTTTAACTATGTAAAAAAAATTTTGTTTCCACTTTAGAATTAATTTCGATGGTAACTATGGTTAGTTATTATTTGTTGTCATTAATAGAAATATGCAAGGAATTATGCTTGCATCCGCAATGATCCCTGTAAACACGATATGATCATAAACTAATTGGTGATGATAGCAGCTAAGTATTATGAGCTATATACTTAATTAAACCATACTACATGACAATACATGCATTTTCAGCCAATTTATATCAACTGCATCAGAAATGCGCTTTCTCTTAATTTTTTTCTCATCGCGATTATGAGTGTATTGTCGCAAAATTATCGTCGCTTGCGGAAGATCCCGAAGTTACGAATGAAGCCGGCGCGATTCTATAAATACGCACAAATATTCCAATATCACTCTCGCACCTAGTATATCTTGCACTGTCAGCCACATGACGACGCGTTTCGTCGTGCCAAAGATGCCGCTACTGCAAACAGCGTGTTCATCAGCCGCTTGCGTGGCCAATGGAGTCGAGGAAGACTCCTCGCTAGAAACGAGAAGTCGTAAGAAATACGCGTCACTGGCAGGAGCACGTGAAAAGGACAATATCGTCAACACTGATAACACCGTCCTTATATTCGTCGAAAGCAGGCTATGTCGACGAGACGATGCGATTATTTCGCCTGGGCTCTATGGTCGTTGATCGTAGCTCAGACTCACTCACTGCACAGGCGTCGCTATCGATCGATAGCTGGCTCTTCTCGAGTCTCGGAGTTTCGCCGCGCCCCAAACGACTTGGGGACATTTCTTCCACAAACGAACAGTCGATCTCCGCATCCCTTTCTAATTTTTTATCAGATCAGCATTAAATGTAAATGTAGACTCACATGTCTAGGCTATGAACTATCTGGGTTGCTTGATGTGGCTGGACAATTTTGTAAAAGCAATCTTGATTCATCTTTTAATATGTATATGCTTTTCTTTTAATATATATATA